TGTGCTCCCCCACAAACACAGAACCCTGTGTCTTAACTGTGGCATTTCACTGTTGAGTAGAATTACAGTAGAAGTTACAGTAAGATGACCCGGCGCTGGCTGTACAACACTGCAGCCTCTGACCCCACACACCCCCACACCCTCACCACACACACACACATCCTGCCAAAGGGAGGAACCTAAAGCCGCGACTTCCAACATAACAAATGTTTACCTTCCTCTCCGCCTCTCCCAGTCCCAGCAGCCCCCCAGGCTGTCAGTCAGCAGCTAAGTCCTCCTCGGGGCTGGGAGGCCATCAGGGATTTAAGCAAAAATCTCTTTATCCCAGAACTTTCTCTCTGGGATGAGGGTGAGCATATGACTCCAGTCAGCAAAATACCACAACTGCTGCAAATGACTTCTTCTCTGCACCTTGGAGACGCCAAAAAGCTTCTCTGGTGGAGAAAACGTGTGTTGCATAATTCATGTGTGTGTGTCATAAGTGCCTCAAATATATTTTTTATTTATGTTATTTAACTATTTGTATATTTTCACATACTGGAAAATATGTTTTGCAACAGTGCAATGAATCTAAATCAGTGGAAAATGATACAAAATTATTTGAGTATATTTTTACTATCTATTACTACATATATGTAAATATATGTAAATATGCAATATATAATATATATTCATATACAGTATAAAACGTGTCCGTCTTTAAGTAACTGACAGTAATGTGTTGGTTGACCGCTCAGTGATAACACCGAGAGTTTCTTCTTCATCTGTTCACCTGGTGTTAATACCAGGTGCAGTTTTATAATGTTGTGGTGTTAGAAGAGTTAGACGTTTCACTTAAGTGGTTGATGCTCCATGCTGATTAACCCGAACATTGATTTGAACAGGCTAATCTGGGGTGTTAGCCCACAGTCCTGATGAGACGCCATGAGCTTCATGATCCAGACCAGGTGCACACACACCCACTCAGCTGGAGGCCAGGGGTGTGTGTGTGTGTGTGTTAGTGGAAATGACAAGAATGATCTGGCCTTCAGGACCACGGCAGACACTGGGATTTAGGAGGGCCTCCAGGACGAGGACCTCCAGGAGGAGGCCCTCCAGGAGGAGGCCCTCCAGGCGCTCCGCTCTTATCACAATCATCACGTTGTCTGTTCACGTGCACACAGACGAGCCACACCCATACCAGGTTGTCTTTGTCAGTACCAGCTCTCGGTCCCTGGTATCTGGACCAACCCTGCTCCTACTGAGTCTAGAACCCTGGTGGAACCGATGACGGCACACGTCTTCCCTAACTATTTCCTGTAGTATTCCATCAGACTAATTCATGACACACCTTATGACATAGTAAATACAAAGTATGCGTAACACTGCAGTCACAGTAACCTGGCGTTAAAAAAGGAGGGCAGCAGGGAGGAGAGCAGCTGGAGACAGGTAATCCCGTCTCACCAGGTCAGCCATCAGACAGGCTGCAGCAGGCCCGACCAGCTTCAGTCTAATTAGCACAGTCCAAGGATTTAGTCTGTCCTCTCTCCCTCTCTCTCTCTCTCTCTCCCTCTCTCCCTCTCTCCGACCTGGAGTAAAGCCCACATCTCCAGCCAGTTGTGACAGGGTTAATGCTCTACGCTTGAGATTTGACCGGCTTCAACACGCTTCGTCTTCTGTGGCTACGTCACGCCTCCGCAGGGGATTAACAGAGAGATGAGTAGACGGGACGGCAGTTAGTTCAAGTCCAGAGACGAGAAAAGTACTAAAAACAAGCAAGAACTTCGGCAGAAATACGTCAAAATAAACAGATGACTGGAATATTATAGGTGATTCATCATCATTCACCTTCTACTGGAAAGACTGCAGAGGGACAGGTGGACAGGTCAACCGTCCAGGGTCACAGAAAGAGACAGATTTTCAATCTGCATGTTTGCATAAAGTGTGTGTGTGTGTGTGGCTAAGGCCAAGGATGTAGCCTGAGTGTCTGACCCCCCACACCCCACTACATTACCACTGGTCCATATCTCGTCCCCACTCCCACAGACGTCCTTCTTCAAGTGTGTCTCTGAATGGCAGTGAGGGGGTGGTGGGGGCGGTGGGGGTGGGGTGTCAGGTGTCATTTTAAAAAGCAGTTGTCAGGACGGGCTGTAGTCGTCTGTGGTCCACTCCACTGGGCTGGGCTGCAGTGGAGTGGACTTTGTGGTGCGGCTCTGAGAGCTGCAGCTTTTAATGGAACTGTATTAAGTGGGCTGTTTTGAAGGCATTGATTGCCCCCCCACACACACACACCCCCACCCCTCCCTACGTTGGGCCAAATGAATATTACTGTAGATTTCTGCTCCCGCTGGCGATCAGTGAATAAAAGCTATTTTATCTCCTGCAGGTACATTAGTTTTTAATTGTGCCAAACTCAATAAATGGCTCTTTATGGTACTACTGTAGTAATCCCAGAGTACGAGTATTTATACAAGTATACTGGAGGGAGAAGCATTGATTACAGCTGCGGCTCCAGTTTCAAAATGAAAAGTGTGACAATATTCCTTCAGCTCCATCTGGCAGTACTGGGATGGTTCTGGTTTTCAGCTCAACAACTTAAAGGTACAGGATAAAAAACTGTACAAACAGTAAAAAGTAAAAAAACAAAAAGTAAGTAAAAAAACAGTAAGGTTTTTTCTGTATCATAACAACAGCTCCAGAGTGTGCATCATGTCAGTCAGACAGACAGTCAGACAGACAGTAAGCAGTCTGTGACACCACACACACCTAGGGATTAGTTCCGAGGTAGTGATGACTACAAAGTACCAGGGTGGATGATAATTAATGGCATCCATTAGAGGGAAAGCCTCTGTCTGCACTTTTCCTGTTGGATGGACTGCTGAAGAAGCTCATTCCTGTGTTCGTGTCCTACCTGGGGCTACAGAGTGTTAGACTGCATGTCAAATAAAGCCTTTACAGTCCCAGCCCCCCCGCCCCCCCCCCCATCCACTGCATGATCCTCTTTCATTATTCAGCCCACTCACATTCTTTTCAATACGAAGGCTCTGTCAAAAGGCTAATTAAAAAAAATTATAATTATAATTATTTTTTCATAATAATATTTTCATTTTTGTTTTAATAATAGTTATGTCTAAGTTTTTTTTAAATCGAAGTAAATGGAGAGTAATTCAGATAAAACAAAATTTCTAAATATTTATACTATATTTTGCTAAAACAGAAGGACAAACCAAGTGATGAAATTCATATGGAAAAATGTCAGTGTTCGTTGCTGTGCTTATTTCAGCCTCTTTTGTCAGTCATGTCCCTGTAATCTTCTGTCATCAGTGGGTACAGTCCAGTAAAGCCCCCTCTGTCTCAACAGTACCAGAACCTAATGTAGTTTCCAATATAGCTATATCATGAATTATTATAAAATAATACCGAGTATTCTGTTCTCATCATTCTGTCTCGCTCTCGGCTTTCCTGTCGTTGCGCTGCTTTCAGTCGTGCATACTTTTTATCCAATCATATTTCAGCCTCAGGTGTTGCCAGGTTAAAAGAAATCTGCCCTAAGGCCTTCAGTAGAATCAGTAGTGCGGTCGCTAGAAGCATACATTGAACAGCAACAGCGTTGCTTCTTTAACCAATCAGATTTTGATTGGGCGGTCAAAGAATACAGTCTTGAATCTTAACAAAATGCATTTTGCGGCTAACACGTTCGATAGTAACATTTTCTCTGAGTCCACTGCTTCTGTCGAGCGAACATTCTCAGCCTGAAGCGAAATAAAACGTTTTAAATCGACAGGACTGGACTTTAATCGTTAGCATGGACGACGACAGGACCGGGTTGTTCGAACTGGAACTCACGGCTAATCTGTACAACTGAACTCGTCTAAAGGAAAGCGATGAGGAGGGAGTTTGTGTACAACTATTTAGAAGTTTCGGTGAGTAAAACGCATTTTGTCTTTTTAACAATGTTTTCATTTTATAATATTATTGATGTTTCTTGGTGAACATTATGTCATTAAAGGTACGTATACGATCTCGTCTGTGGTCCAGAATAAAGCAGATCCACTGTTGTTGATAGAGAGATAACGCCCCCTGGGGGCAACTCCAGTGTCTAGTCAGAGACAGACATACAAGTCAAAAAGTTTTAGGACAGATGTGTCTGATGGTAATGACTCGAACCAGTTCAGACTGGTCTGTGGGTCAAGTATGGGTTGTTATATTTGATGAATAGGTTTTGAACTAATTCCCAAACGGAGTTGACAGAGTATTTAATAAATAAACAAAATAAATAATTCCAGTCCTCAGCTCTGTGCCTTTTACACTTGCAACAATGGTCTTGTTACTTTGAAAAGCTGGGGTGTCCTTGTGTTTATAGCCAAAAGACAAAATTATTATGTGCAGTGAAGTTTGGGGCGTTTTGAGTTCTCAAATGTTGTTTCACATTTACGATGAAATGAAGTTAGAACAACGTATCAACTAAAGACCAAGTGTTTTCCACCTGGCAAGGATCCAGTGGATTAAAGCTTAATGATCCTCTGAACTTGGAGATAAGACAAGAACATTAGACAAAATATTCTCCTGTTGAGTCTTGTCCTCAGTTGGTTTTAAGATCCCTCTGACGAGTCGTCCTACAGACAGATGGTCACATGACAGAAGTGTCAGAGAAATCACCTCTATGGCTGAACAGCTCCGCTGATGTCAACACATCATACTGTGTGTATTGTCTAAGGCCCATAAAGGCCTGTTCTATAGGTGACTGTGCTGACTCAGCAGTAGTTGACAATAGTAGAATAGGATGGTCTCTCTCTAAAGAGGAGGCTTCACCTATGACATGAATCCACTGTGGTTTAAGTTGTCTTTTTCTGCTCATTAAAACTCAAAAAATTATTTAAAAAGTTCTCAAAAAATAAGAAAACAACAAGAACTTCAAACCGTGTAGCTTCTCATAGTTAAAATGAATTTGAGGAAAATCCAGAAAAGAAAACAACAAGAACTTCAAACCGTGTATCTTCTCATAGTGTCATGTCTCATGTCTCATGAATTTGAGGAAAATCCAGAAAGAAAAATTGCAATTTAAAGCAGTCAACAGTAAACAAACTTGCAGCTTATTTGACCAACCCAAGTCAAAGGTTGAACTATTTTACGTGATACGAGTCGCCGTCTGCTGCCTCAGACATACATCGCCTTTAACAAATAATGAACTGAGAGACTTCACTCACTCCATGCGCATGTTTATTTATTAAAATCAATCAAATCCAATGCATACAACCTGATTTCAATTCAGGGTTTGTAAAACCATAATAAATCATTTGAACTCTATTCATTTGGTTTTGAAGAGCACACTGTTTTGATCTCTCTGCCAATGTTCTTTTCTTTTTTTTTTCTTTTTCCTTGGAAACCAAGCCCCGTTCAAAACATTTTTTGTAGTCGTAGGTGTGAGGTTGAGCCAAACATGGTCTCATCTACTTTCCTGCAAGCACCCGGGGGGGTCTCCCTTGCATCACACGGATCACATAGACAAGGTGCAGCAAGAATTAATTTCACAATGATCAGTTTTACAGCTCTGCCTTTTCCTGTTTGTTTGTCTGACGGCCTGCCCGTCTCAGCCTGTGTGCACATGTAGGGCTGTGAGTGATGCACAGCCAATCCCTGACTGGGTTAGATGTATGTGGGTGAAAAGTAAACGCAGTAATGAGTAGTCTGAGCATGTTTATGTGAAAGATTCTGACTGTATAGCTGTGAATCAGTCTCTCCCCTGGGGGAAGATTGGGGGCGAGGGGAAGAGGGGGGTCTGGCCTGTGGTTTCCAGCTCAAAGAGAGGGTTTGATGAAGCAGCAGTGGTGTTGGACTGAGTTGTGTCAGTGGAATGACTAAAAGGACAAGTGAGTGTGAGGTAAATGTTGTGCGGTGAAGGGAGTTCCCCTCAGATGAAGACACCGCTGTGTTCAAATGAATGTTATTAGCAGCAGTTGTCAGCTGGCTGTCTGGACGTGAAAAGGCAAAGACAAGGAGAGAGATAGGAGTGGGGGTAGGAGGGATGGTACAGTAAATCTGAAGACGCACAATGCAGAGACTTTTGATGATGTGGGCCGGGTTGGTATTACCACCCAAGCATGTCAGCGCTTTAGGCTGCAACACTGACACACCTGCCTGCATCAGCTGAGTCAGGGCCTGTACAGCTGGGGACAGGTGGTGGGGCGAAATGCTAATGGTTTTGTTTTTTTTTTGTTTTGTTATTTTTTTATATTTTCTTGTGTTTGTCATATGTGGCCTGAGGCCCTTAGGGGAGAATGCTATTAAAATCACAGGTCTGTTGTTAGAGGTCTGGATGTACCGTCTGACAATAATAATGTATGTGTGTATATATATATGTATATATATATACATATATATATATATATATATATTTTGTATACAGTTTATATAAACTATATAAAGAGACATTTTGACATTAATATATATATATAATAATTATATTATTTTGGTATATTTTTCATGGTATTTGTCCATAATAATAATAATTCCGTCATGTTTTTTCTCTTCTGTTCCAGTAGTAGACAGAAATGGTCGCAGGAACGTTGACTCATCAGTTGTAATCATGATTAATCATTTTAAAATAATGAATAACTCCACAGCTCTCATGTGATCAGTCCGATTAGAAATTGAAACAGCCCTAATATATGTATTTATATTTCTATATATATGATGCATATAAAAAATACTGATTGCACTGAAATGTAGGTTGAATCTTAAACACTAACAATTAATAATTACTTTACAAATAGTGTAAAAATGGACACAAACATGCAACAGTGCAGTTAATGGAGCAACTGCTGTACAACTGTCACGTTTCTTGTGCGTAGGACAGAGTTAACGACTTGGGAAATCCTTCAGCGCTTCAGTGCGGCCTGTGTTCATCTAAAAACGTTTACAGCTCGTTTTTGTTTCCTCCGCCGCTGCCTGCTGTGTGTGATGTAGGAAATGTAGGAGATGTTTGTCTTTTCAGATAGGTTCCGTTGTCTTTTGTGTGTTTTGTCTCAAACAGCATGTCAGCCAGGCGGGGCGGTTCGTGGGGAGTAAGTGAGTGTGCGTGTGTGAGAAAAAGAGTGTGTGTTGAAAATAAAAGAGAAAAAAAGCTCCATGGCTGCCTGCACACACACAGCAGCCTGTGGCCTAATGGGATGTGACACTCTGACAGGCACTCTGAGCTCTTTATCTGGGCCTCTCGGTGTGTGTGTGTGTGTGTGTGTGCAGGTTTGTGCCTGTGTGCATTGGTGTGTTTCTGTTTGCCCGGTTTTGCCACGATTGTGTGTGTGTACACAGTGGTGCGTGTGTGACCCCGGCAGTGGCAGTCCCCGGGCCCCCGGAGAGTTCTTTAACCTCCTAACAGAGTCAGACTCATTTACATTGAAATGGAAGAGTGGCAGGGCCTCTTTATAAACTGTTTATTTTTTAGCTCTATAGAGAAGACTTGACTCCACCCCTCTCTCACACAGCATGTTCACACATACACATGCAGAACCACGCAGCGTACATGAGAATGTTCCTCTGCCGCTCACACCAGTTTTCTGGTTTTCTCTGTCGGATCCTTTCAACTCTATATTTGTGTGTGGCCTAATAGGTGGGTCAGAAAGGGGCTACAGGATCAAGTCTGTGTGATGTGGGGCTTTGGGGGGTGGGGGGTCATGTGATTGTGAATATCGTCTTAATGGCTGAAGATCTCACAGATTCTGTTGACAAGTTTCTAGTTCCTTCAGAACTATTTCCTTTGTGCCTCTGCAAAGACATTGTGTGAAGTGAGAGAAACTGGATAAATGTATAACATTAACAAACACACATTAACAAACACACACCAGGACCTCCTTAAATGTGTTCAGCCCGCAGGTCGCCATTTGAGCGCCACTGGTCAGGCTTATTTACACAACTATCGTCTTCATTGGAAATGGCGTCGATGGGAGCAGTCTAAAAGAAGTCATATCTTCGTGGGTTGTAACAAAGTGAAATTGACATCTGTAATTGAATTGATTTCACCGCCTTGCAAGCGAAGGAAGGCAATCAATAAAACGACCAGCAGCTGGACAGACTGACCGTCAAGGAGCAGAGCTCTACTCCATGTCCTTGTCCATACACAACTCTGAGTCACAAAATTTTAAAGACTCTCTGCATCCGAAACAACAAAAGTCTATTCGGAGGCACACAGGCAAAGTACACTCAGTCTCTGTGCAGTTGTTTAAGTCGTTGTCAACCTAGTACTGTATGGACTGTGCAGAGAGTTTGGTCCTGGAGAGGAAAAAATTAGGAAGCGGGAAGGGAGTTGTACGGCTGCAGCCTCATCCTGACCCCAGACTTCTCTATCCTTGCTGAAGGCACGGAGGGTTTCCAGAGATTTTACTGGCTGCCAGAGAGAGTGCACGTCTATTTATAGCAAGCAGGAAGCATGTGGGAACTTTTTGATGATCCATACAATTATATTTCTGTCAGGGATGTAATGTGGTGGAGAACGAGGAATCTTTCTGGAGACGACTTCACTCCCCCATATAACAAACCTTTCTGCATCCTGCTGTGCGTGAGTTTACAGTTTCCCCTTTCTTTTTTCTGTGTTCTGGTGAGGACCTTCTATAAAAAGGAAGACTGTGGTGGAGTTTTTAAAAATAGAGAGGAAATCACAGGGTCACATGTTTATGTAACGCCAGAAAACAGGTGGTCAATAGATGGCTTTGTGATTTCAGTAAAAACCAGCTTGTCTTGATAGAAATAGAAGAAAAGTACTTCTGACAAATGATTGTACTGAGTTTGACAAATGGAACCAATCTCATTGGATAATGTAAAAATCCCTCAGGGTCAGCCGCTCCTTCTGTGATACACAAGGTGAAGAATGATTCAGTTCACACCAAGTGTTTATTTATGATATTATTCCAGCACATATGGTTATTAACGGATGAATCATATGGGCAAGAATCTGGCGATATGGTACGTATCATGTTACTGTACAGCAGCAACAATATGATATATTGTGATAAACTGCAATACTATAGGCACGACAATATATTATAGTTTTATATTATTATTTTTAACCAATGTAATTGTAGTAAAACGCAATGCTGTTCCATCTGAACATCAGGTACTAACACTGGAACAGAGAGATCTACATTTGGAATCACTAGAGGAGAAAGAAAAGAAAATGAACCAACAGGAATATTTGACTGGGGGTTGTTAATATATTTTAAAAAAAACAATTACAGCTGTAGAATGTTGAAGGTATACAGTATCGTGAAATGAAATATGTGATATATATTGGCGCATTGATACGTTCTCATGCTACTAATATTGATGTATTTATCAATTTCTATCAAAATCCCCACAACCAAGCATTTTTACGAAAAAAGGACAGCCTCACCTAGACCACATACAGAAAACATGCAAAGACCGTCGATTCCCATGGCTCAAATCGGCAAACATCTGGCTTTAAAGCGTAGGCTCTGTCCGCTCACTGTATCTCTTAAAATGCCACTGCGTGTATCCATGTATCTAAAAAAAAAAACAACTAAAAACCAAATAATTTGTTCAGCAAGAAAAACGTACACCAGCCCACGGCCTAGTGGTTTGAAGGATTGGACTCAAAGTAAAGGACTGTGGTTCAAATCCTGACCTTGACTAGATGTAGGGTGTGGTGAGTAAGCACCAAAAACTCTGGATACAGTCATTGGTGTGTTTCACAGATGTTAAATGCACAAATTAGTCATGGTTGAATTCAGTACTAAAATGACATGGTATACTTCCTTCAGGGATTTCTGGCCCATTTTATGACATCCTCCATAAGCCCGAACAAAGACTTTAAAAACGTTTCAATATAAGAATAATCTAGACGTACAATGCAAAATTATATAATGGGATTACAATTATTTTTCTGCGTGAAAATATCAATGAGTAGACTCGGACTTTAAAGACTTGATCTGTACTTTAATGCCAGATCACAAAATCTGAAGAAATTCCAACCAGCTGCATGTTACCCAGTAGCAGCTACCATATATCATGGGGTCGCTGCCTCCCAGTGGAAATTCCCTGTATGCTTCGTTTGACTTCTGAACTGTTTTTATGATATAAGCATTCATTTCACCCATAGTTCTGCATGTTTTAGCTGCACGCCACTTCCTTTTCCTGACTTCGGTGAGTCACTGTATGTGTATGTGTGTGGTGAGTTCAGTCACTGCCGTCGGTTCAAGATACTCACTGCCCCTCACTGATGAGATCCAGATGGAAATGTACCGTGGATTATTCCCTCTATTCAACATCACACTGCCTGGAATCTTCCACTTTTTCCTCTTCAAATTAACCTAACTGTGCACAGTGGACACTAGTGTTAGTGGTAAACTGACAACAAACTCAGGGTTTGGTTAGCTTAGCATTGTGTACAAAGGTAGTGTTTTAATTTGTAGTTTTAGAGCCTTGGCCGTAACTGTTGTTCATTTCATAAGGAATTTTCCATAATTATGGGGAACATCTACCACATCCAAAGATATCTGGGATAAAGTTGCTTTTTCACCCTAAATATTTGGGAAACTTTTTGTTCTTTATTATTTAACTACGTCTGGGCTTAGTTATTGGTTTCTTTGTGAACTTTTGGTTAGCTCCATATTTTGCCAAACTTAAAATATAGTTAAGCAAATTTGATCAATTTAAGAAATAATTACTTAGGTTTTTGGTTATCTTTGTCCTATGTTAAGGTGTGAATATGATTGTCTGCAGCTCCCCCTGTGTCCACGAGAAAAATAAATCAATGGCCTGTGTGTTGAATAATAATGGTTTATAAGCTGCAGAGGTACAGTTTGTGTTTGGCCTGCAGGAGCTTTTGGGTTTGAATCCCCCTGTTTCTCAACCTTGTTCAAACTATACTAAAAATCAAGTTTTCATCTTTTTATAGACTAAAATGCCAACATTCGCTCTCCCTCTGGTTTGTAGTCAAGTTTGGCCAGAATCTGCATGCACAGGGCTGTATTCACACAGGAACACACACTTGCATGGTTGATGCAAACATTGCCAACAGAGTCTTCTGATCTGTAGCAAACAAAGTCCAGTGCACCAGGTCTTTAAACTCAGACCAGGTGGTTTTACAGTAAATCTGTCCATCAGCTCCCCCCGAGGTCTGGGAGCTGGAACCATGGTTGGCTTATTGTTAACACAGATTCTCACAGCCATTAAACATGTTGGGTTTGTGTTTTATTTCGTAAGGAAACAGCCTTTTTCCTGCTTTTTTGTTTCAGAAAATCCCAGCAGAGATTATTTTTTTTCTGTCCATGTCCTGTTTGAAATGAGAAATTGTGCAGTGTGACCGTTTAAAGGAGCAGTAGATGGGATTGTAATGCAACTGTTGATTACTTATAGATATTTAATGCCATCTGTGGTTCTGCTGACAGACTTGTAGCTGAAGGAACATTCACAACACCTTCAAGAGCTGAACATATTTCTACAGCAGGGCGGGCCAGTTAACAGTATGATGCAGAATGCTGAGAATTTCCATTGTTTCAACAAAGAAATTCCCATGGTGCACCATTAAAAAAAATTGTCACAAAAAGTATATGTATTGAAATGTACCAATCTTCTAGGTTGAATTTACTCACCATTTACGCAGTGTGGAACCCGGGCCTGTTTAGTTGAACTGATATATCTGCAGGAATTGAAGAAAAACACGCAAAGATGAGTGTTTAATAATTCTGCCTGTTACTGTTGCATAGAAGAACAAAGACAAAATATTTACAGCTAATAAATAAAGGACTTCTTCAATAATACATGATTACCTCTTGTGACACTAAGGTGTCACAGCGCAGTGATTGGGAATCACTAGTTTGGGGTTGCTGTGTTTAAGATAAACATCATTGTTGGAATAACTACTTGGAAGTCCAAGTAGTACTGTCTTGGTACTAGTTCCAGTACTTCAAACTGAATTGGTACTGAATACTGATATTGAATCAGTAATGGCGTTTATTTTACAGAAGTTTAATTTGCTCAGTCATCATTAAACTTTCTTCTAGTTTTTCTATAGGCAGCCATTAAAGAAAAACCTACTGGTTCTTTGAAAATAGTTCCTAGTACTTTCTCTTAATTTTTCTGTAGTTCTTGTTTCAAATACAGTTATATGCCTAAAAGTTGCTCCTCACGTGGTACATGCATTACACCAACAATAATAGAATCTTTATCAGATCTCTGTCCTTTGAAGTAGCGAGTTGGTCCAAATACACTTCCTCCTTTATTAGCTCAGGTTTCTCTCTCTCTCTCTCTCTCTGTGCTAATCAGCAGCTATTTGGTTCTCTTGTTACCCAAGATCCACTGGGCAGCTGGGGACAATCAGCCTGACAGAGAGGTGATCCTCTGAGCACAGTTAGTGTTTGGACATGAGCCAGTGACTACTAATAATTGACTGTCTCTGTGGGCCTTTTCTGTCCTGAGTAAAAAAGTCTTTGTATGAAGGAATATCAGGTTACACCATTATATACAGAGATCAATGTTTCTCACATGGTTTGAGAGTGACTCAAATTTGATCGTTTTGGTTTGGGTCGTCTTATTTTGTTTGTCCCTCATTTTGACTGTCAACCTTTATAAAGACTCAACTTGGGCAGAGGACAAAGACTTTGGGTTTGGATCCTATGGGTTTTTTTTGTTTTGTTTTGTTTTTTAACATTTTTGGTGATTGTTAATTCACAAAAAAACTTCAGCCCTGAAGTCAGCCAGTGGTTATCAAACCATGTTTGGCATGCCTGTGTGTCAGTGGTATACAGGTCCCATACTTTTGATAATCCTGGTTTGAGGAATCACTACAACTTTACGTTTAGCCAGTCTTGTTTGTGTTGTTTTTTTTTTTTGGGAACTTTTTGCCCTTTGTTATGGCTCAGAAGCGTAGGGCAGACTCTTCTGATGTTTTTATGTCTTAGTTCAGGGGTGGGCACATTTTAGCTTGACGGCCGATTCAGTAGTGGTTGAATGTTGGTTGTGGGTGAAATAATATGAATAAAATGTACAAGAATAAACCTAAACTTTTAAGGATAATTTAGCACATTTTCTTAATGTCGTGAAGGGAATTCCGAGGACTTAATAAAGTTCTATCTAGTTATCTACATTAAATGTCTGCACCGTCTAGTGGTAACAACAGAAAATATAGTCAATTCGTTGTAATGCACGAAACAGAAAGATTGACATTAGCCTTTACCAGACTTAGCACCAGCGTTTGGCAGGCCGCAGGCTGATGTGGCCCATGGGCCATAGTTTGCCCATGTCTGCTCTAGACTATGATGGTACCACTGTGTTAGTACTTGTGAGTGACATAGGTACTTATGTACAGTGTGTAAGTTCCGACCGATAGATTTGAGTTGTGTTGCATCGTAGAATACACAATTCCGACAAAAGTTGAGAACCCCCCGTATATGGATACATCATAAAAACTCTATATATCGCCCGGCTCTAGCACATACTTCAGCATTTCCACAAATACTCAGTCAGACTGCGTACCCGAGCCATAAATCAGCCGGCCATGTCTGATGTACGTTCTTCTAGTAACTGTGTTCCTCTATCAAAGAAAGCTCCCTCCACTGGTGTTTATTAGAATCTATATATATACACCCTTCTCCACACAGCTGTAATATTACACCTCCGCCCGTCCTGCGCTGATGAGAATGAGTCACCAGCCGGCAGGCAATGAACTGCCAGAATGGAGGCTATAGCAGAGTTATTAGTAAACACATTTATCTTCCTGATGCGGCCTCAGTGAGCAGGGACTCCAGCCTGTGTGTACCAGCATCTGGCAGTTTCTTATCTGCAGCTAAATGGAAGTGGTGGTGACAACCACAATTAAGTAAGACAGGAGAGAACGGTGCAGGGTTACATACATGGTAATTACTCTATCACCGTGGAGCGGCCAGTGACATTAAAACACTGGCTCCAGATCAACCAACAGGATGACGGGACAAATATACGCATCACTGAAACGTACCCTTTCTGTTTTGTCTTCACTGTGAGGGGGTCAGTGGAGGTTGGTGTTGGGTGGAGACAGGCGATGTCTTCACAAACTGACAACACAAAACTAAATGAAATATACGAGTACACCTAAAGATTTGGATGCAGGGCGCTGGTTCCAAATAATACACAATACAGATTGACGGTTTTTAGTAAATATCTTCCAGAAAGGTGAATATTCAGCCCGTTTGTTGTATGTTGTATTATGTCTAGGACTACTGTAGAGTCACACAGTTAACAGTCCTCCTTTACAGCAGAATGAGGGGTGGGCCCCCCTTAGGCATGCAGAGTTATTAGGGAGGAAAAATCACGTTTAAAAAAAAAAAGAATTGTCTCCTTGTGTATAGATGGTTCAGAGGGCAAACAAATGCATCTTCATGGGTACACAGCCTGTTTCAAGCGGATCAGTTTTATTTCTAATTTGTCTATTTACCCCGGGTGTTTTAGTTGAACTTCACTGGTCTTGAAATAAATCATTAATTAGCTAGATCTCATTTGAAATGTTGACTCCCAAGGGCTGACAAATGTCTGGGGTACTGTGAATCCATCCGTCTGCTTCTTATTTGTTTGCAGTTCCAGGGCAGAGGTAAAAATACTGAAAGTTATTTCCAGAATGAGTTATTATTGCAGCATGGGTCCAGTTGGGTCCTCTGAGCCAAAACCACTGCCATGGCTGGAGCATCCTTTAAAAACAAATCTGAACTCTCTCTGGCTGGTGACTTTTATTTCTCCCACAGACACTGGTTCTATGGCTCTGGGCAGCCTGACACGGCTCTGCTCCATACTTCATATATTCACTGAGAATAAACAAGGCGGTCTGTGACAGGCTAACGCCTGCTGAGTCCGTGTCTGTACCAGGGCATGTACAGTAGTCATGTGATAAATGTAACATCTGTGACAGAGGAGCAGCGCCTACAGCAGTGGTGGAGTAGCTATGGCCCCTCCATGATGGAACTGTCCTCCACTCATATGCTATCTTTCCCTATTTTTTTTTTTTTTTTCCCTTTTCCCCCCCCCCCCCCCCCGTATCCATCTGATTTATTCCCTTTCTTGCACTAGCAGCGCTCTCTTCTTTTTCTGTCAGATCCAATGAAAATGTTCAGATTGCAAACCAGAAGCCACACTCAACCTGTCCAGACATTAATCCTGAAAGCTCTCTTTTCCTTTCTCTCGCTCTGTGGATCCTAGTTCACGACATTAACTTATATTAAGATGGACTTTCCAAAGAGGCATGTCCAAAGTCTGGCCCCGCGGGCCATCTGTGGCCTTATTCAGTTGTCGTTTACTGTTCAATGGTCTTCCAGGGTCAAAGAAGGGGCTGCAGTCCCTGGGCGAGCAGAGGTACACATACTGTATATATAAACCAGGGGTGCACGATAAATGAGCCGATAATGTGTTTGGATTTTTAACTTGTGTAATGCACTTTTTTACTTTTTGTTTATTTGTTATTATAATTATTACTTATTTATTTTACAGTTTGTTGAAAGGCATGAAAAGTGTGGTTCTGTGTATTGTATTGTCATGTCATGAAATATCTTCAATATACTTTTTCTCATTGGTCTTTCATATCTCCATCAGTTATCGGCCTTTGGAAGCAGGTACTTATTGGTTATCAGTACCAGTTCTCATGCACACACACTCACACAGACACAAACACACACACACATATATATATATTAATGTCACATTTTTCAATGACTAACACTGTTTAAAATAAAAAGTCTTGGTACAGGTCTTTTACCTGGTAACTCCTTTTTATTCCTGGTCCTTCAGTGGTTTCAGCTCAGATCCTGCATCAGTTCCAACACTAAACACTACTTCTAAACTCTTCCCACACCATGAACCTAGAACTGAGATCTGACAACCCAACTCTGCCTTTGATCCTTTGAACAGTTTTTTTACGATGTGCTTTAATGCTAACAGTTCAAGGCTTATGTTTTAACTCACTGGATGACCCCCACCTCCCTGTCTCCATTTACTTAAACAAACCTTTACAGAAAACAAATGAAAAACAAACAGACGTAGATTCCCTGCCCATGGGCATGGATAAAAGGATAAAAGGAGCAACTCTAGTTGACTTTCCATGTGACTACGCATACAGAGTATTTCATCTGTCCTCTATTTTCATAATTGAGGAACTTTTTTAGAGAATTTATATATATATACATATGAAACAGAGCAGTAGCACTAGAAATCCTGGGGGGACAGTTTTGTGGTACAACTCATGTGCGACCATTAAAGTAACAGCAACAAGGAGAAAACAACAGAACATACAACACTGTCCCCTATTTATAATATATTTATTTATAATAACTATGCCGCACATACGGCACGCATTGCACCATGTGGACAGTCACGTTTGAAAAAGACGTGTTGGTTTACGGAAATACAGGGAGAATAACAAGGGCATTAGTAGACGGTGTCTCTCAGGACAATACGATCTAAAAAATAAAGTATATAAACCGACAGGAAGTCGAATTTAATTTTATTGTCACTTTATTGTGACTTTATTTTCTCATAGAGCTTTTCTCACTGACTTTCACTTTGGTCAGTGTGTTCTTCTACAGCCTTTCATCAAATTTGTAGTGATGAAAAGACTGGAAATAAGCGTGCATCCTTTCTATTGCTATGCAGATTTGTCCACATCCACTGCCAACAGGGGTAAAGAGACGTTTGGGCCCAGATTGATTTGGATGCAGTGGTAGTTTCTCACCCCCTCAGTTTGTCCTTGTCCAGTTCCGATACAGTGATACAGGTCACATACAGCCTTGTCTTCACTGAAAAACGATTGGTCCATTAACCTAATGCCACCAGTTTAATGCTGAGTGAGTCCTGGTGAATATTAACTGCATTTCAGTTTACTGCAGCACATGTGTATATAAGTGAAATACATGGACTGATGTCACATATTTAGCCCATCTGAAATCATCTGACATTATTATGAGCCCATCACCGGAGACGTTTCCTTGTAGAGCGTGCTAAACTTGAGGCTCGTGGACCAGATTCAGCCCACCATGGCCCTAGAGAGTTTACTTAATGTGTGTAAACTGCACCGCTGCACAGTGCAAGTCAAATCGCAAATTGCATTTATTAGAAAGACAAAAGAGAGCAATCTTTTTTTAGTCCTGGAGGAAGCCCACTCTTACCACCATTAGGTTTTATGAGACCAGTTTAGACTCAGAAGGCCTTTCATCTGTGTGTGTGTGTGTGTGTGTGTGTGTGTGTGTGTGTGTGTGTGTGTCCATCAGTCAAAGTAAATCTCTCAACAGTCACACAATAACAGTAACAGTTCCTGTCCTCAAAGCCCTCCGGCCAAACTGGCCCATTCAAAGGACTCCTTCAACCTGGTGTTGAAGCCAAATTCCTGGTCAACAGAAGAGCAGAGATTTAGAGCTGTGGTCTGAGTGGACACAAATGTTTGTCCACCCAGCCCTGCTGTTGTTTCTGGACCTCCAATAAAACCAGGGCTGGTACTGACCAAAGTACTTAGTATGACTGAAGAGTAAGTATGACGGTGAATACTGCAGTAAGTCTTGTCAGTTGGTTGACATTCAGAACTAAGCCTTGGACTCTGAAATAAAAGTCATTGTTCTGTTGTATTACTCTATTGACATGATCAAATGTTTATGACGTGACTTGACAAAATGCCACTAAATGTCTGAGATTGATTAAAGATGGCGACACCTGCTGTGGCATTTCCTTGAAAACAACTACACTGACCTCCGTGTTCCTGACATTTGAAAGAAAAACATTTACTTTAATCATTGAAGTAACTGCAAAATCAGATTTAAGAGAGCTATAGATGAAAGGACTGGGACTTGACCCCATGATAACTTTAAAGTAAATACAGACAGAATTAAAGTATTAAATCACACCTTTAAAGTTCCCTGCTTTCAGGATGCACTACAGATGCCCACACTCCAGCCCAGGTGTTTGTCACCCTGAGGAATCTGAACAGAATGTACTTGGTGATGTCACAGTAGAAGACAATGCAGATAGAAAAAAGATCATTGTAAATATGATCTTGATTACTTCCTCAACTACAATAAATCGGAATTCAATTTGCGACTAATTAATTACGACGCCTGTAATTAATTTAAAATATTTAATTGTGCCTCACCATTAAGAATTGTCCTTTAGCCAGGACATGGTGAGAGGTTTATTGGGCTCAGGACGTGTGTGTTTGTCTTGATGGTCTGGTTTGTGAAGCTCCTCGATGCCGAAGGTCTTGTCCTTGAGCAGGGTGTACTTTCTCTCGCCTCCCCTCTCTCCCTCACACCCCCCTGAGTGGTGTCTCGGCTTCATGTGGGAGACATTACTCCTGTACTCTATCTCCAGCTGTCTTCGCCCAGGCTTTTGTGTGTGTCTCTCAGCTACTGCTTGGGTTGTATAATGTGATTGATGTCCTCCAAGCAATCTGCTTCTGGGACAAAGACAGTGTTCAGTTGATCCACAGGCTGATTGGCGCCCGGCTAATGGAGAGGACACCATGACCTCCGAGGCTGTCAGGTGCCAAACCATTCTGTTAATTATGCATCCACACATTTGCCAGCCACTGGAACCAGTCTGCCACCACCTGTGTGCTTCCTGAACTTGGAAGACCCCAGAATTCACTACATTGCAGGATTCCAATTACTCTGTACCTGTGTGTGTGTGTACATATGTGTGAGGTTTCATAACATCTGTTGTCAGGCTGGACTGCCTCCGCGCCGGTGCTGAGTGTGAACAACAGTGCATGGTAATTGACTACAGCTCGAGGGTGTGTGAAATATCCTTAATTCTCTACGCCTGGACTCGGAGGCTGAGCTGCAGTAGCTGCAGTTACGTCTTTATGTTCAGCCTGTTAACACCGAGACATTTCTGGTTTATATATGTACTGTCGGCAACCCACAAAAAACAAATATTACAGTAACTAACTAGAGCTGGAGTTATTAGGGGCAGACAGGGACAGTGTTTCAATTTGGGGTGCATCTAAAAACGCCTCTCCTGCTTCTATTTCTGGGTCAGAGCAGTTTGGGCGGCGGATTAGAGCTGCTTTCACTTGTCAGCAGGCAAACAACAAGCTGCCATTTGTGTTTATTATGTTATTTTCAGAGCAGACGAAAATTCTGTAAAATCTAGGAGAATGCAAAATAAGCTAACACATGCTGCGTCGGCTACTTTTGACTTTAAGCCAGAGAAGGTAATTATGGAGCAGGGGTGAAGTGTGAAGTCGGGTCGACTCCGGGACTGCAGAGTCACAGTCTGACCTACACCACACCAGATTTGTCCTGTGAGATTGCAGCTACTTCCTGTTTTCTGGCATCTCTGTCTTTATTTGAAATGACATGCGTGAAGATGGTGTTGACACGTAGATGTTGTTGAGACGAGGTGGAAAATGAATCAAATTTTATCCTTTGATGGTGTTTCTATTAGGAAGTGTTGTGATAATTGAAACCTTTTTCAATTCAATTTTTGTTTGATGACTGAATCAATAAGAACACACACAGATTATTATATATTTATTAAAATATAAAAAATACATTGGTACACATACGCACATGCAGTCCAGCATATGTACCAACAAAAGTACCAATACCACTGCAGTTACTCTGGAGAATATTCTGGACCGTAGTTGTCCTTGTTTGGATTGTTGACATAACAATAAATAGATATTTGCATAAAGTAAACATTTGTCAGCTTCCTTGTTTATAACAGGATTAAAAATGTATTAAAAATAGATTTTAAATTATAATTGTTTGTAAGTTAACCATCGAAAATCTTGCTGGTACTGCAGTTATTTATGAATTTATTTTTTATCATCACAGACATGACATGTAATTATATCTGTGCGACAGTTAGTTTTACTGGACAGGATGTGTTGGTCATGTGGTGCTGACATCTGGGTCCCAGACAGGATGATGTCATCAAGTATTAAAAAGGTTGTAAAGTGGCCGTAGGTGTTCAGGATAAACCTGGTTCGGTTTGATACCATGGACCCCTCTACCACATTCAAAAAACTAGAGAAAAAAACTTTCAGAATCAGATGTTGAGTATTTGGTCCCAAACGTTTACTGACAGTTAAGAATAACGTTTTTTGGGAGTGTATATAAAACCTACCTCATCACATGGTCATCAAGTTCCTAATATAAACCCAGAGCCAGAGGTTTGGCTCCAAGTCTAACACAGATGTTTTATTTTACTCATGAAAACTGTGGTGAAGTTGTCGTGTGTTTTATTTTACTCATGAAAACTGTGGAGAAAAAAAAAGTTCCGTTCATAACGTTTGGTATTACAGTTGTTTGGACATTTCCATTTATTATAATTTGGTCTTTTTTGGTGGAATTGAATTGACCTGACTTTTCAGTCCGTGAAGGATAAGTTGACTGTTTCTATCAATCATTTTCTGTTGCTTTGAACTGATGTACAGTAAAATGCTAACGTCTGTTGACACTCAGGGGGATGTGTAGTTAAATAGATGTTCCTAGGTCAAGAGTGTGTTACCTTCATGGTCTATTCTGGAATTTCTGCTTACTCAGACAGTTGAGGGCTTCTCTTTCTTTGTGTTGGTTAAATGACCACAGACTGGCCCGCGGGCCACTGCTTGATTAAGCCAGTTTTAGAAGAACCTGCCAGCATTTAAATCATTAAAAAAAGTTGCACGTTTTATTGCAAAAAGTCAAGACGAAAAAACCCACAAAAAGAATAGGTATGGAAGAATGGACCTACGTACATGCATTAGGACAGTACAACATATGGAAGTACTTGATTGAACAGCTTGTTCCCACTCCACAGGCTGACGCTCCCTGGGAACCCGGCCTCATCAGGATTCTTGCAGGTCTCCTTATACACCTTGGAGGTTTACACGCTGCACAGACGTACATGTAATTTATAGACCACTGTAAAAGTGGGCTGAGTTAATCTCTTTGTTACCCAACACATGTTCGTCCATCAGCAGCAGCAGCTGTGCGTGGACACAGCTGGGTGTAGGAGAGCAGAGGGCGAGAACAATGCATTAAAGCAGAAAGTTCAAGAAGTGACTGGTGTAATTTAGGATCGAAGTTTGGACCGAGACGTGGGAGTGGGAAAAAGACAGAAGGATCAGTGGGCGAACGGTCCAACGAGTGAGCGAGTGAATATGACCAGAACCAGTCGTTGCTGTTTTTGATGTTAAATGATATCAGTAAATTATGACGGTGTCAGTGGTTTTACAGTTAACACAGATAATGTTCTAAAGTCTTTAAAAGTACTAGTTATTCTATACTAAAGTGGTATAAAAATAAAGTATCGTAAATGTTTCTAATTGCTGGCTACGTCATCGCTCCCTACAGACCACCTAGAGTCACCACACGTGTTTTTTTTTAGAAACTGCTAAAACAGCTGTACGGTCCAAACATGGACTGGTGATGACGACACGTCTTGTTGTTGAAGCTACAGCGTGTACTGAGTTTTCATGCATTATGAATCTAACACTCCACCACCGTCTTTAAAAATACTGTACTGCACAGAACAAGGAGCTTCTCCCCAGCGCTCCCTCTGAAGGCAGGAGCCCACGTCACTGGAGGAGACAGAAATAACGCAGATAATCTGCTTCAAATACAGCGTTTATCCCCAGAAGAGCCAGGAGGAAGTGCAGCTCCTCTTCAGCTGCTGCTCCACGGCGTTCCTTCAACAAGTCAACAAGCTCATGTCAGGTTGATGTGAAAGGTGTAGTAATTGGTTCCAGCTCCTGCTGGGGTTTTCCCTGACACAGTTTTATTAACACAGATTATACGACGGATTAATCGGCAGAATCCCCTGGAGATCGCCTTCAAGGACAAATCAGCTCCGCAATGTCGCACATATTTGCAGATGTGTGTGTGTGTGTGTTTGTCTTATATTCACACTCATGTCAACACACACACTTACTCCAAACCAGAAAACCAGGCCAGTCTCCTCCTACTTGTCCTCCTCGTCCTCCTCCTCCTGTCTGTGGAGAACAAATTGCTCATCAGAGTTTGTTAATTACATCGTTCTCTAAAAGGATGACGAGTTAAGCCTCGATCTTTGCTGGTTGACTTCATGTCATGGGGGGTGGGTGGGCGGGCCTCAGAGATAATCTCAGTCAGACT